AACAAAGATCACTTACACTCTCAGGTGACTTCATATAAATCTCCTGCAAGACCAGGACCCACACGTTACTGAATTCACAAACACAATGAGTAACTGTATGTTGCTACCAACAGTAACAAACCTACAAAAGTTACAGAGACTAGTGTTTCCCTACTTGACCACATCTGGACCAACACCATATCCCTTTTAAAAAAAGGCATAATTACAGATAATACCACAGACCACTACCCTACTTTCCTCATAACAACTCCTTGGTAAAATTTCCCCAAGACACTACTAAAGTCACCTTCAGACTTCACAATGAGGCAGCCATTAATAACTTCACAAACCCGCAGTAGCAAACATTGACTGGCACACTGAGCTAGAAATTTAATACAGATATTGACGAATGTATTAATAATTTTCTAAAAAAGAAACCCCAAAACCTCTATAACAAGCACTGCCCTAAAAAAACTAAGCGATGACAGCTAAGAGACTGAACAGTCCCTGGCTAAACACCCAGCTTCTCAAATCCATAAATACAAAACACCAATATGAAAAACAGTACAGAATGGGTCACATAACAGAGACCAAACAAAAAAGTTACTCGTCAATCCTAACCAGCCTGATAAGAAGGGCAAAAAAATTGTATTATGGAAACAGATTATCCAACTTACGAGGTGATATAAAAAAGACCTGGAAAACCCTATCAGAATTCTGGGAACAAAAAAGATATCACGAAATAGCGAAATAAAATTAGCAAAAACAGATGAACCCCAACTCCCACCAACAGAAACAGCAAACAGACTCAATGATTTCTTCTCCACTATAGGACAAAACCTTGCCAATAAAATCCCAAGCTCAGATACCCCACCAAATGACTACCTCACCGGCAACTACCCGAAACACACTGTTCCTAGCTCCGACTAACCCATACAAGTCTCCCTTATTATTTAACGCACTAAAAAACAAGGCAGGAGATTTAAATACCTTACCACCCTTTTATATACAAAAAAGTTGTCACAAGTGCTATCACCAATCCCTTGCAACACTCTTTAAAAAAAATCCAATTGAATCCTCCCCTTCCCTACAGTACTCAAAATAGCAAGGGTCACCCCGATCCACAAAGGAGGAGACCAAACAGAGTTGAATAACTATAGCCAATATCCAACTTACCCCTCTCTCAAAAAATCTTCGAAAAAATTATTCATAAACAATCTACTCCTACCTTATCTCCCAAAACATACTCAACCCTGCCAATTTGGATTCAGGCCTAATAAAAATACTAATGATGCTATTATACACATGCTAGACCATATATTACCCTGCAATAGAGAAAAAAGAAGTCCCCCTGGGGATCTTCATTGACTTACGTAAAGCTTTTGATACAGTTGACCATGACTTGCTCCACGTAAAATTGTCACACTATGGTATAAGAGGGCACTCCCTCAACTACCTCAAGTCATACCTCAGCAACAGAAGCCAATATGTGTATGCAAATGGGCAAACTCTTCTGCACAACTAATTAAAAGTTGGTTGTCCCACAGGGAAGTGTCCTTGGCCCTCTTCTCTTTCCTATATAAAAATGACCTACCAAATGCTTCGCAATTTAAATCAAACCACATTTTTGCTGATGACACAAATAAAGTCTTCTCCCACCCGAGCCCATCACGCAGCCAATACTGTAAATTACCGAATTACAGAAAATATCTACCTGGATGAGTACTAACAAACTACACTAAACATTGACAAAACCTACTTCATCAGTTTGGTAAAAAGAGCTACAGATGTCCCTCTTAACATAATGATAAACGGATCACCTATCACAAAGCAACAGAGGGAAAATTCTTAGGAATCCACCTTGATAATAGACTCAATTTCATACACATATACAACAAATTTCTAAGAAAATTCCAAACTGTAGGCATACTATCGAAGATACGGTACCCATGCTCCACAGTCGCCCTCCTGGCCCTATATCACTCTTTATTTACCCCTATCTCACCTATGGAATTTGTGCATGGGGCTCAACAACAAGTAACCATCTCAGACCACTAATTACCAAAAAAGGCTGCAGTTAGAATGATAAACAAAATTCTCACTACAGGCAGCACACTCCACCAATATTCAATACACTCAACCTACTCACCATACAAAACATCCATACTTTTTTTCTGCACCTAAATTTCATACATAGAAACACTCAACTCTGATATTAACCCTCCCTCAAACATCTCCTTGCCAACCTCAACAGAACACATGACCATAACACAAGGCACAGATCACTCTTTGTATTCCTCTGTCCATCTCACGCTATGCAAAAACTCACTGCACATAAAAGGCCCTAAAATCTGGAATTTTATTACCTGTAAATATAAAAAAAACACTACCTGTTTATAATTCAAGTCTCTTCTCAAAGATCACTTACTCACCCAAAACCAAATAAATACTGAATAACTGAACCTTATAAATTGTATATCTTAAATGTTTCTCACAATTATATCACATAAATGTTAAACCTAAAATCCAATCTAACTTTATTATTTTTTAAATACACTACCTAACAGAATACTCCATTCTACTGAATTTACAACAATGCATGCAACCATATGACCTGTCTTTGTAATACTCACTTGTGCTTTATAGTAATCTGTTTACATTAATGTTTTTCACTGATTTCATCATTGCTTAGTTAATCTTAAGTTAATTTTAAGCCAGCCCGTAATGCTATGCATAGTATAAGTGGCTTTGGCATGCTGCTCTTATCTGTATTTTTTTGTACCTCTGTATGTGTGCTCAAATTATAAATAAATAAAAAATAAATAAATAAATTTAACTTTGATCCAAGCAGAGGAAGCACAGGCCCAGTTCCTTAGATCAAAAGCCCTTCACCAGCATCAAGGAACCTCCCTTCAGAGAATATCTTTTAGGCAGCATCTCTTTTTATTATACAAAAGTTAAAATTACTTATTTACTTACATGCACATGCGCACACGCACACACACACACACACACACACACACACACACACAAAGACAAAGACAGGATGTTCCAGAGATGGGACACAGCTGGAAGTTGAAGACACAGATGAATCACAGGGATGTTAGGAAGTATTTCTTCAGCCACAGAGTAGTCAGGAAGTGGAATAGTTTGTGAAGCGATGTAGTGGAGGCAGGATCCATACATAGCTTTAAGCAGAGGTATGATAAAGCTCACAGTTCAGGGAGAGTGACCTAGTAGTGACCAGTGAAGAGGCGGGGCCAGGAGCTTGGAATCGACCCCTGCAACCTCAACTAGGTGAGTACAACTAGGCGAGTACACACACACACACACAGGAGGACAGGAGGGTTGGGGGAGACATGATAACAACATACAAAATATTGCGAGGAATAGACAAGGTGGACAGAGACAGGATGTTCCAGAGATGGGACACAGAAACAAGGGGCCACAATTGGAAGCTGAAGACTCAGATGAGTCAAAGGGATGTTAGGAATTATATCTTCAGTCACAGAGCTGTCAGGAAGTGGAATAGTCTGGCGAGTGATGTAGTGGAAGCAGGAACCATACATAGTTTTAAGACGAGATATGATAAAGCTCATGGAGCAGGGAGAGAGAGGACCTAGTACTGATCAGTGAAGAGGTGGGGCCAGGAGCTGAGCCTCAACCCTTGCAATCACAAATAGGCGAGTACAAATAGGATAGTACGCACTTGCACACACGCACACATACACACACATGCACACAATGCACACAATGCACACAATGCACACATGCACACACGTGCACACATACACGCACAGACACACACACACAGTGTGCATGTGCACACAAAAACAAAAACAAACACTTACCATTACAGTGGAACCCTGGTTTTCGTTCGGTCTGGTTATTGTACAATTCAGTTTTCGACCACTTTTTTTGGTGAAATCCCCCCCCCCCCATTTTCATACATCTGCTCGGAAATTGTTCGTACCAGATGTGTCCGCCTGCCCACGGGATGCAGCCGCTCATACATTCATGACTCAGTATGCCTTTGTTACTTGTTCACTAAGTGTGTCCCTCTAGTCTTAACGACATAGTAATAATACTAATACGTAATAATAATCATTCCTGGGCACATCAAATGTCTTATTTTATGTTAATATAGACATTTTCATTAATCCATCTATGATATTTTCTTCAAAATTATATAAGAAACACGTTACATAGCATTTAAACATGCAATGTTTATATGCTATGGAGGGATGGTAGTCGGGTGGAGGGAAAACATTACGTTTCCTCTGGTCCAGCACCAAAGAAAACTTGTATGAATCTGTTGGCCCCCCCTTAATACAAAATGCTTTTGTTTACAATTCTCGAATTATTCATTACTTCTCCCTTTGTTTATGATGGCATCTAAAGGTAGTTGTTGCAAACGATTAAACTCAGTGAACATGGTATGTCAATGGTAATAATATGGCTCTGGGAAGCATTAAATATTGTGTAGCTATGTAAGTAGGTATAGGTATGTAGCCCAGACTACATACCTACATCTACCAGCTACCTACACCTGACTTCCTATAAATAAGTACTACTCACCTCTTGCTCTACATTAAGACTACAAATATTTTAAGATAAGTAATGAATGTACTGTGTATGCATTTTACTTTTATTATGCTCTTTAATGCCTAGTTCTATTACTAACTTAATTTAAGTTAGTGTAAACTTGACAACCCTATGTCTGTTGTGGAATCTATTGTGGCTTTGGGGAAGTCCATGGGGTTGGATGTGAGTGGCCAGGATGTGGAAGAGTTGGTGGACGACCACAGGGAAGAGATAACCACTGAAGAGCTGCAACACAATAGTTATTCTCTAAAAAAAATTTTTTTTGTTAATATTTTTGGGTGTTTCTAGGTAGTAGGTTGGTAGACAGCAATCACCCAAGGAGGTACTACCGTCCTACCAAGCGAGTGTAAGACAGAAGCCTGTTATTGCTTTACATGATGGTACGAATGCTGTTGTCATTATTCTATCTCAGAAACATGCAAAATTTCAGGTACATCTTGCTACTTCTACTTACACTTAGGTCACACTACACATGCATGTACAAGCATATATATACACATCCCTCTGGGTTTTCTTCTATTTTCTTACTAGTTCTTGTTTATTTCCTCTTATCTCCATAGGAAAGTGGAACAGAATTCTTTCTCTGTAAACTATGTGTGTCGTAAGAGGCGATTAAAATGCCGGGAGCACTATACATTACTAAATTTATGTAGAGAAACTTTTGTTTTTCTGTTTGAGCCACCCTGCTTTGGTAGGATATGGCAGGTGAAAGAAAATTTTTGGGTGCCTGGAATGGATTAATTGGACTAACATTATTTCTTATGGGAAATATTACTTCAGTTTTCATACAAATCAGTTTTTGGCTGACCTTCTATAACGGATTAAAGATGAAAACTGGGGTTCCACTGTAATATCCTCATACATCTACTTCAATTAAGTTTCCATGGATAAACCCTTATTGGCTTAAATTAACATGGTAGAAGTACCGTACATTGCTTAAGCAGTGAGTGAATGATGGTGAATGCTTTCTTCTTTGAGTCACTCTGCCTTTGCAAAAGATGGACATCAGGTTAAAAAAATTAAACTTTCTATCCTGCAATACAAATTTTTTTTTTTTACCACAATGGCTATTTTCCACCAAGCAGGGTGACCCAAAGAAGAAAATACGTATGCCATCATTCATTCGATAGCTGTCTTACCAGAGTCTACATGAACTACAATAAAGTGTGTTATCATGAAAGTTAAAACCCCATAGATACACAAGTGGTAATTTCAACAGCACATACGAAAAAACTTACCCAAGTGCACCAGCAAAGGGCCAGCCTAGAAAAGTGGAGACTGCTGTAGTAAAGATGGCAAGCTCATATGATTGATGATACCAAGCTCCCATAGACATTAATGTCATATACCTAAAAAGGAAAATGAGCAGCTTATTATGTATACAGAAGGACTGCTTTCATTCAAAATTATGTTAACAAAGAACAGAATACATTCATCAAAAGTTGTCTTTCTGCCTCATATTTTTTTGCATAAATTGTTCTGTAATTTATATCTGATCAGAAGTATTGTTATACACCTGAGTCCTGGTGATAATGAGGAGGAAGATAGCACACATCTTCTAGAATGAACCTGGAAAGCTCTACAAACTGTTCCTGGCCAACTAAATCATAGTGTCTTGGTAGGACTGCATGTCTCAAACACCAATAGCCTGACTGACAATGCCTGATCAACCAACCAGGCCTTAAGCTGATGACTCCAAGACTCATCATTTAGCCATTATTTTTTTTAACCCCTGATCTGAAACTTGTCCACAGGATCTAAGAATTTAAAAAAAAAAATTATTTTTTATTATGAAATGGCAGAGAATCCTTTGCTGAAGGTAATAAAACAAAAAATATGAAATCTGATGGAAAATTGACAATATTATGCTATCGCGAATTTTGCTGCATCGTAGATATTTACGCAACCGATTTTGCCCACTTTGATTCCTATTTTAAGCCAATTACATTGTTCCAATTGACCAAATTCTTAGCTATTTCACTAGTATCACTTCTATTTTATTGACTGAGCACAAGAAACTGCCCAATCAACTATTTCAACTACCCAATAAAGTGATTAGATATTGGTAATTTGGCCAATTTCACACAAAGTTCAAAATATTCTGATCTCAAAATAGGCTCCAAAATAAACAATGCAAGCATTCCTGGCACTAAAATAACACTTCCTCTGTTTATTAGTTATGTTTCCAGGCTTTACACATGAATTCTATTCTTATTTTTTATTCACAAAGAACTTTTATTCACACCAAACAAAAGAAGATTTACTGCTATGCAATATTGTAATAATTGTATAAATAACATCAACACATTTGTTAATGCACATTAGACCCACCAGCTGATGTGTATTGGATTTGTGATGCGATTTGTTTACGCTTGAACTTCAGAAAAAAATCGAACATTTCCTCTATCTATTTGGAGCTCAATTTCAAGCTATGTTCTACTAAAACCAATTAAAATCATCTTTATTTCTGTAATATATCTTCCATTCTTACAAATGAGACCAAGAAACCGTGAATAGCCATAAAAACCATATGAACATCCACTGCAAAGTTGCTGTTTTAATCCAAAAACACAGTCTCAGTTTTTTTTTGTCATTATTCACCGTGTGCTGCAGGATTTATTTTATATGGTGTACACTTACCACATAGATGCATTCCCTCACATTTATTTTGTTTTATTAACACACTGGCCGTCTCCCACCAAGGTAGGGTGACCCCATCACTGTCTCGCCAGAGGTGTGCTTACACTACAGTTATAAAACTGCAACATTAACACCCCTCCTTCAGAGTGCAAACACTGTACTTCCCATCTCCAAGACTCAAGTCCAGCCTGCTGGTTTCCATGATTCCCTTCATAAATGTTACCCTGCTCACATTCCAACAGCATGTCAAGTCCTAAAAACCATTTGTCTCCATTTGCTCCTATCTAACATGCTCATGCATGCTTGCTGGAAGTTCAAGCCCCTCACATACAAAACCTTCTTTACCCCCTCCCTCCAACCTCTCCTGGGCTGACCCCTACCCCACCTTCCCTCCACTCCAGATTTATACACTTTCTAAGTCATTCTATTTCCTTCCATCTCTCATATCTAGGCCCATATTTACTGCTCACAGCTTATCTGAGTGAGGTGAGCTCATGACATAGTACTATGGCACTGACCCTCAAGGAGTTAAATTTCAGCACCCACTGAACGTTGGAAAAATCTTTTTGGATTTAAACAAAAACTGAAAACACAATAGATGTACTTAATTCATTTATGAACACTTTTTTTGATAAACAAACATGATGTCCAGTTGTCACCACAAAATCAACAACAGTATTCAGTAGGGCTTTATCACAAGAGAGAAATGACAAATAATAAAGAACTATCATTACTATACACAGATAAAACTTACATAGCAAAACTGGAAGGAAGATATGCAGTGGAGGATATAAACATGCCAGCAGAGAATACCAAGATGCCCAGTGTCAGTCTGCCAACATTTGCTCCAAACTCCTTGCATATTCCTCTGAAACAATATGCAACAGCAATGCCTGAGAATTTAAAGTATAATAATTTTTCCATCTGTTGCAATTCTTTTCACATAAAAATGATAGTTGCTCAATCAGTTTTATGCAAATGTATACTGCACTGCTTGCTTACTATTAAACTAAATGCAAAATATTTGAGAACAAATTCCTGCAGTCATACTGGTATATTACATTACATACTAATGGGATGAAATATGAACACATACAATATGAAATAATTATATAACTATTGTGTTACTATAAAACATACTGGAGGGCCCCACTTATACAGTGGGTTAGGTTCCGGGCTACCGCTGTAAAGTGAAACAGCCCTCTCTTTTTTTTTTTTTCACTTTAAAATGCGTATAAAAGCCTGATAACATGTTTACACTATCATATATTAAGTGAGCAATACAGCTAGGCCTAAAAAATGCATATACAGTACAAACATTATTTACCTTATAATATTTTTGTCCTTAGCTCATAGTGAGTGGTGAATATATTTATTGTAGTTAGTCTGAAAAAATGAAGAATGGGCATAACTGAAGGCCACTGCATTAGCGAAATGCTGTAAAGCGAAGCACTGTAAAATGAAACCCTCCTGTACATAAAGATATTCAATACCTGGTACTTTAGAAAATGTGAATAAAGAGCAAATATATAATGCTAATTTGTTTTCAGAAATTTTATAAGAATGAAAAAAGATTCTGAAAAAAATTAGTCAAAATTTTTTACTGTGTTCTGAAAAAGTTTACACAAAATGCACATGCACAGTACTGTATTAGATGTTTATCTTAAGATTCCTAGTATCTAAACCAAGATTAACTCAGGTAGGTATGAGGAGCACTCTACCATACTACAGTATCTCAAAAATAATACTACTTCATGAAATTGGGTAATTAGAAATGAGGGTAGCTAGCAACTCTGATCACAGCTCACTCCGAGGAGTTGTCCACACTCAAGAGTTAGTTGTATGGTGAATTAATCTCCCACGAAGCTACTTCTAAAATAATTCAGTACAATCTACCATGCCATGATCCTATAGGATACTAGTAGCAACAGCCTGGTTGAAAAAAAAAAAAAAAAAAGCCTGGCTTCAGGCCAGGCTGCAAGGGTGGAACCCTAGAAATCAATAATAGATATATTGCAGGTATACTGTTGCCTGCAGCCTTCATCACATTGTATTTACAGGACAAAATTTCTATAACTTCAGGAACTGCATACATAAGATCTGAACAAATCACTTAGAATTTACAATATCCACGTTTTTTTTATACCAATGTGAAGCTCAAACAGTAATTAAGAATACAAGTGTGAAAAGTAGTACAGCTCACATTAACAAATGTTTGTATTGGTGAAAAACTTTCATTTGAACAGTTTTCCCCAAAACAGCCTTGTTAAAGGAAGTCTCCATATAGCAGATTATTTCAAAGTTTTCTAAAATACAGCATCATAATTTTAATTAACACAGTTCACAATTTCTACTCAAGGAGCAATTGACTGCCAGTTAATGGAGTGTCTTTCTTCATATGCTGAGATACCCAGCTACTTAACCCCTGTACCAACATCTCAGCCAAGGCAGGTCTGGCAAAGCGTTGGTGCCTGGGACACGGATGCTTCAAACTCACTGTACCTTGGCTGTCCCTATGGTCCCTCAGAATACCTTTGGTCATCTAGGAAGGGTTAAATTATGTGACAGGATTCTTTCATTTCTCCAGGGTAAGAAAAAGTATAATAATCAATACAATGCCTTGGTATGGCCCATGTTTTGCTGACTGAAGGGGACTTTCTAAGATAATGAGACTGCAGCACAAGGTTAAATAAATATCCCTTGAAAAAAGTTCTGATCTGCTTCAATCAAATGACACAAGTCTGGTGAAATAAATATTACTCTAAATAATAGGGAAAGGGTAAAAAGCTACAACAAGCATCAATTTCACTAACAGGGACTGTAATGGGTATAGTATACAGTAGAAAGATTAAATATTGAGACTGAGATAACAATTATTGACTGAATACACAATTTAAGCATATTTGAAAAACTGGAAAGGTACTAGAAGAGAAAAATATAATGAAAATTTAAATACAAAGAAAGACCTATAAACAAGCTTTCCAGGAATATGAAATAAAGAATATGTTTCTCAGCATTATATAATCTATTAACTACAATGAGATATATAATACTTTGTTTAATAAGCATTACATAATCTATTAACTATGAGATAATAAATACCTGTAGAAGTAGAGTTCACAGCTTGAGCAGCCCAAAGCCAACATGCATCGTATAAAGAAGAATACAAGCATACGGTTTGATTGTAACAGACTGGAATATATCCACCCAGGTACTGCATGGATGAGAAGGTATGTGTAGGAGCGGAGGGCATACTGGGGAGCATATTCCCATGTCTGGAATCCTTTTCCAAACAACAAATAATGTGTCTGCAAAAAATTACAAGTAATTATTTATTTAAACAACAATAACATCACAGAAAAATGCATTAAGAGACTGAAGACAATGTATGTATGTAGAAGACCCTTGACTCAATTGGCAACACACTTGCCTGACACACTGAGTGTCTGTGGTTCAATTCCCAGCATGGGTGGAAACTTTGGGCATGTTTCCTTACACCAGCTGTTCCTGTTCACCTAGTAGTAAGTAGGTACCTGGGGGTTAGTTGACTCGTGTGGGTTACATTCTGGAGGACAAGATTTAAGGACTCCAATGGAAATAAGACAGACAGTCCTTGATGACACACTGACTTTCTTGGGTTATCCAGGGCAGCTAACCATCTGGGTTAAAAATCTGAAGAACTCTTATCTTACACCTGTACATTATTGGTGTTTATTTTCACATTTGATGTAAGTGAACATGTCACTGCTTGTCAGTTGGGGACAATTATGCATGCGACTTTGTCATTACCTCTTAGCACGAGATAATAAGGGTACTCTGCTATTAATAACTCAATGTCATAATTATTCATTATGTATTTTATTTATTTCTTTTTTAACATGTTGGACGTCTCTCACCGAGGCAGAGTGACCCGAAAAAGAAACTTTCACCATAATTCACAGTGTCTTGCCAGAGGCATGCAGATACAGCAGTTTATATGTCCCTCTAAACAGCAAATATCCCAAACCCCTCCTTTAGAATGCAGGCACTGTATTTCCCACCTCCAGGATTCAAGTCTGGCCTGGTGGAAGTGTCCATTCAAATTTAACTATCTCCTTAAACAGTAAGTGTAGCTACTACTTTGCAAACTGCCAGGTACAGCAATCTCTCTCTCCATACTCACTCAGAGGTCAGTTGGTGCTTGTCACTAACCAGGGAAGATTGGGAGCTAGATTTCCCCATCACTAACACAGCCACACATGCAAACACCGTCTACATAATATCATTTTTAGAGCTTAGAATTTCAGAGAATTGTCTTGTGTCTGCAGCCTATGTTCACCATGTGGACTTTGATTCTGACAGCCATATTCCTTGTGGATGCACCCTGTGAGAACATTGGTTGTGCAATGTCTAAGTCCATTTTCAACTTGGTTCACATGTGAAGGGAAGATTTAGTCTTTGAGAAAGGTTGTAGTATCTACATAATAAGATATGAAGACTTTCTTTGCATCCTGTTCTGTATGGACTTGGAGTGTGGTCTTCTCGTCTCCTCTATAATTTCTCAATTAACTGTACGTAATTTTATAATGGTGCAGAATGGACCGAGCACTGTCTACAGTTTGCTGTGCTAAATTTGTGTTATTTATAAACTGTTTCAGTCAACAGTATTTCTATTTTTCAGAAAAGACAAAATAATACAAGAAAACAATAAAAGAAGAGGAAAACAACATTTACCTGAAGGCAACAATAAGAAAAATAAATCTTAAAGGATTACCAAGTGCTATATGTCAGGTAAATAAAGAAAAAAAAAAGATTAATGGGGCAAAATTACACCTTTTTACTTCTATAAAGACTACTGAGACCAGCTGGTCTATTGCAGCATTTCAGTCAAAATTATTAATAATGATTCACTTGCTTAAGAAAGCCAATTATATTAAGTTATTATCTCCACTGTTTTTAAGGACATAGCTAGGTCTAAAAGGATTAACAACAGCTCTGAGGAGACTGCAGGCACCCACACCATCCCTAATAGATATTGTAGTAGTTTTAATAAAGCACACGTGGGCAAGACTGAGAGCAATTTGTCTCTACGCATATATGAACATTCGTTTGGTGTACCAATACAGTAACCAACAACGCCTGTGTTTTACATAGTAACATGGCTTCACACTATATGAACCAGCTCAAAGTAAGCATGGTTATCATTGAAAAAAAAAAAGACAAGAACAGAAGAAAATACCTGGAATCAGAACTCATTCATACCACAGACAATTACCCAAAACCAAATTAGTTTCTACAGTACTCTCCTGACCTGATGTAGTTAGGTTTGCATCTCACATCTGCTAGTCACTCCCCAACCATGTATTATGCTTACACTGAACAGCAATGTAGAGGCTTGAAAAAGCTTGGGCTCCTGGCAAAATATTACCCAATGAAGGCTACCATTCTGCCTAAGTTCCTTTTTATTATTTAATTAGAACCTAAGTTACTTAAAGTCATTTAACTATAGTATATAATACTCAAATAGAGCACACAATATACATGTAATAATGAAAAAATTCTAACAAATTATTCAAGTACACATCAATAAAAATAATCTGTAAATGAAAATGAAAAAAAAACTCACTGGTTCCCAATAATTGTATGTTTCATCACAGTCATTAATGAGAGCCCATATGGCAGCACAGAGTCGAGCTGAGAGCAGAGCTTTGAGAGCTGTGTATGAACTGGGTGTCCAAGGCTCCACTATGCCTACTATGTTTCCTCCTCCATCTTCCTTGTGCTTCCTAAAAGGAAATTAAGCTTTTTTTTACATGACTTCACTAGAAACAAGCTTACAGACCTATCAGTTATAATAATGATAATTATTATTTTTTTTTTTATTATCACACTGGCCGATTCCCACCAAGGCAGGGTGGCCCGAAAAAGAAAAACTTTCACCATCATTCACTCCATCACTGTCTTGCCAGAAGGGTGCTTTACACTACAGTTTTTAAACTGCAACATTAACACCCCTCCTTCAGAGTGCAGGCACTGTACTTCCCATCTCCAGGACTCAAGTCCGGCCTGCCGGTTTCCCTGAACCCCTTCATAAATGTTACTTTGCTCACACTCCAACAGCACGTCAAGTATTAAAAATCATTTGTCTCCATTCACTCCTATCAAACACGCTCACGCATGCCTGCTGGAAGTCCAAGCCCCTCGCACACAAAACCTCCTTTACCCCCTCTCTCCAACCTTTCCTAGGCCGACCCCTACCCCCCTTCCTTCCACTACAGACTGAACACTCTTGAAGTCATTCTGTTTCGCTCCATTCTCTCTACATGTCCGAACCACCTCAACAACCCTTCCTCACCCTCTGGACAACAGTTTTGGTAATCCCGCACCTCCTCCTAACTTCCAAACTACGAATTCTCTGCATTATATTCACACCACACATTGCCCTCAGACATGACATCTCCACTGCCTCCAGCCTTCTCCTCGCTGCAACATTCATCACCCATGCTTCACACCCATATAAGAGCGTTGGTAAAACTATACTCTCATACATTCCCCTCTTTGCCTCCAAGGACAAAGTTCTTTGTCTCCACAGACTCCTAAGTGCACCACTCACTCTTTCCCCTCATCAATTCTATGATTCACCTCATCTTTCATAGACCCATCCGCTGACACATCCACTCCCAAATATCTGAATACATTCACCTCCTCCATACTCTCTCCCTCCAATCTGATATTCAATCTTTCATCACCTAATCTTTTTGTTATCCTCATAACCTTACTCTTTCCTGTATTCACCTTCAATTTTCTTCTTTTGCACACCCTACCAAATTCATCCACCAATCTCTGCAACTTCTCTTCAGAATCTCCCAAGAGCACAGTGTCATCAGCAAAGAGCAGCTGATAATAATAATAATAATAATAATATAATAAAAAAGGAGTGCTAAACCAAAAGGGTTATACAGTGCTACAGGGCAGGGAAGGATGCAGGGGTATTGGTTAGCAAGAGGGAGAGGGATGATTATTAGGTTATGGAGTGCAGCGGGGCAGTGGATAGTGCAGGGGTAGAGGGTAGCAAGAGATTGTGGTAGAAAGGACTGAGGGGAGTGCTAAAGGCATCATCATCAGAGTTTGTGTAGTAAATCAGTTGCTGTCAAAGTTAATAAGTGTGTCTAGATTAAAGGAGAGTCCATCAGCAAGAAGGGAAGGTAAAAAAAGAAAGGGCAGCGGAGATGACGTTGGAGGTAAATTCTGCATGCTTGCTGATAGAGTGGGCAGTCCAACAGAATGTGGCTAACAGATACTGGAACCTGAGAATTCTCAAGAGAGAGGAATAGGGTACCTCTCCATGAGATACCCGTGAGTAAGACGAGTGTGGCTGACACGAAGACGGGAGAGAGTAGTCTCCCAACCTTGACATTGATGACAAGAAGATGGCCAGAAACCTATCCAGTGGACCCCCAACCAACGAAGGCATCATCTAACAAAGCGTTTTAGCGTAAAAGCTTTGGCCCGACCAACAATGAAAAACTTGACTAACATCATTCGTCCTGAACGCGTCCATGCGGCCTTGTGGCCTGAGCATGCTTTAGCTGCCCTGCCTTCAGTTAGTGTGTCAATGTTTACAAGCCAGTGCGGTCACTTCCACGCACACATTCAGTACATTTTGTACTATTCCAGTGTTTTTAGTGCTTGTAACTGCTAAATAAGCCACCATGGGCCCAAAGAAAGTTTCTAGTGCCAAACCTGTGGTAAAAAGGGTGAGAATTACAATTAAAATGAAGGAGATAATCACAAAGTATGAAACTGGAGTGTGTGTCTCTGAGCTGGGCATGTTGTATAACAAACCCCAATCAACCATCGCTACTATATTGGCCAACAGAAAGGCAATCAAGGTAGCTGTTGTTGCGAAAGGTGCAAGTATGTTTTTGAAACACAGATTGCAAGTACTCGAAGATGTTGAGAGACTGTTATTGGTGTGGATAAATGAAAAACAGATATCAGGAGATAGCATCTCTCAATCAATCATGTGTGAAAAGGCAAGGCAGTTGCATGACGACTGAATTAAAAAAAAGGCCTACAACTAGTGGTGATGCGAGTGAATTTAAGGCCAGCAAAGGTTGGTTTGAGAGATTTAAGAATTGTAGTGGCATACAGTGTGGTAAACCATGGTGAGGCTGCCAGTTCGGACCAAAAAGTGGATGAAAAATATATGTGCGGGAATTCAAGGAGTACATAGAGGCTGAAAGATTAAAATCCCAACAAGTCATACCATGGGTTCTATCCCTGCCCGTGGTATGGTTTGTTTGCAATCGTGTCATTACGATTTCATGAGTCATGACCCCAACAAGTGTTTAATGTGACGAAACAGGTCTGTTTTGGAAGAAAATGCCAAACAGGACCTACATTACACAGGAAAAAAAAGCACTCCCAGGACACAAGCCTATGAAGGACAGGGTTACTTTAATGTTGTGTAGTAATGCTAGTGGGGATTGCAAAGTGTAGCTTCTACTTGTTTATCACTCTGAAACTCCCAGTGTGTTCAAGAAAAACAATGTTATCAAGGCTAATTTATATGTGATGTGGAGGGCAAACAGTAAGGCATGGGTCACTAGGGACATTTTCTATGACTGGTTTTATCATGTGTTTGGCCCCACTGTGAAAAATTACCTCCTGGAAAATAAATTGGACCTGAAGTGCCTCCTGGTATTAAACAATGCTCCTGCTCATCCTTCAGAGTTGCCAGATCAAATTTCCGGGGACTTGAGTTTTATAAATAAAAGTGAAGTTTTTGCCTCCTAATACCACTCCTCTTCTCCAGCTCATGGACCAGAAGGTCATTTCAAATTTCAAAAAACTGTACACCAAAGCAATGTTTCAAAAGTGCTTTCAAGTGACCTCAGACACTTAATTGACCCTAAGAGACTTTTGGAAAGATTACTTTAGTATCCTCAATTGCATAAACCTTATAGGTAAGGCTAGGAAGGGAGTGACTAACAGGACCTTGAACTCTGCTTGAAGGAAATTGTGGCCAGAATGTGTAGAAGAGAGGGATTTTGAAGGGTTTGGGGCTAACCCTGAGAAGCCTATGCCAGTTGTGGAATCTATTGTGGCATTGGGGAAGCCCAAGGGGTTGGAGGTTTGTGGGGAGGATGTGGAAGAGTTGGTGGAGGACAACGATGAAGAACTAACCACTGATGAGCTGGAAGAGCATCTGCAACAGCAAGAGGACACAACTGAGGAAATTGTTTCAGAGGAGGGGAAAGAGAAATGGAGGAAGTTGCCTTCTTCAAAGATTAAGGAAATTTGTGCAAAGTGGGCTGACGTGCAAACCTTTATGGATGAAAATCACCCTGACACAACTATTGCAAGCCGTGCTGGTGACTTTTACAATGACTTTGTTGTGGCACATTTTAGGAAAATCTTAAAGGAATGCGAGGTACAGAGCTCTATGGAAACATTTTTGGTGCAACAGAGGTCCAGTGACTCTCAAGTTGTTCCCCAGTGGCATTAAAAGAAGAAGGGAAGTAAGCCTGGAAAAGGACTTGCTACCTAAAGTCCTAATGGAAGGGGATGCCCCTTCCAAAAAATAATACACCTCCATCTCCCCTCTTCCCATCTCATCACTACATCTTCAACAAAGGTAAGTGTCACTTATTCTTCATTTAGTACAGCACATGTATTTATTGTGCATGTATCCTTCTTTTTCTGTGTAGGAAAATGTATATTTCATGTGAAAACATTTTTTTTTTCATACTTTTGGGTGTCTGGAATGAATTAATTGCATTTCTATTATTTCTTATGGGAAAATTAATTCGACTAACGATAAATTCAACTAACGACAAGCTCTGTGGAATGGATTAATAACAGTGCTCGAGGGTCCACTGTACTCGGTTTAATAGAATGAAGTTTGTTATGGAGCAGATCAGACCAACGTTGTTGCCAACAAGTGCTAAGGTGGGTAGCAAATACAGCAAAATAGTCTGCGAATGTAACACCTCTATATGAAACTGGGAGGCCATGTACTGCTGACCACACAGCAGTGTCTGCCTGTTCGTTGCCCTGTACGTCAACATGACCAGGGGCCTAACAAAAAAACATCTTTGTGCTTGGTAGAGATACGGCATAACCAAAGTTGGATATGAAGAACAAGGGGGTGAGGTATATCAAATTTTTGTATAGCCAGTAAAGCACTATGGGAGTCTGGAATGACCACAAATGGTGACACAGGCACAGATGCAATACAGTAAGTGCTACAAGAATGGCATACAATTCAGCTGTAAAAATGCTAGCCGAGGATAATAAATGCCCTCACATGACACTGTCCGGAAACACAGATACAAGTGTTTATTCTTTGCATAGTTAAATGCAAACTGACACATTGTATCCCAGTATAATGCTGTTTTAATGGCATAAAATTTCCATAAATACATTTAACTTTGAGATTTTTAAATTTAATTTGTATAAGTGTTGCTTATGCATGCCATTTGAACTTAAAAGTTTAAATTAATTATATACAGTGGACCCCAGGATATCAGCCAAGTTGAAGATTGAGACACTTATGCAGCATATGGGAATCTTTATTCAGGAAACGTTTCGCCACACAGTGGCTTCATCAGTCCAATACAAAGAGGAAGGCGTAAGGAGAGTAGTAGTATGAGGTGATCAGTCCCTCAGCCTGGAGTCGATGTGTTCAGTCCATCAATCTTGTAGAATGTACAGCATAGGGCCGTAGACATGGCTTATATACTGTAGTGAGGTGAGGAGAAGCAGGCGGAGGCGGGGTCAT